ATAGAACAGTTTGAGCTTCTTGGATAATCAAATTTCAATGAACAGATTTTTTTATTGAATGTTAGGTTTTTTTGAAAAGAGATGGGAGATCTTCCTAAAGCATGGCAGTGTCTTAATGAGTTAAGTATCCAGGCATGTTTTGATCACCCATTAACCAATCAGCTTTGTAATGAACTTGACTTATCATGAGTGAAAAGGAAAGATGAGCTGCCTACCCACACCCACAGAGATTATCTGACTGAGTGAAAGTTTTGAAGAATTTGAAGGGCCTACTTAATTCTAGCTGAGTGAGCCAAATCTCCTTCCATGGTTACAAGAGGGAAAACACAGTCTTTTCGGAACATGCGAGTTATCGTCTTTGCAAACCACAAAGCCAGGTTAGGTTTTAACCCAGAGACTTCAGCTCCAGGTCTCTAGCCAGCCTGCCTGGAGACCACTGAGAAATGCCTCAGAAACCAACCAGAAAGAACACATAAAAGCAACAATCTCTGAACATCCCTTGGGCCACCACCAAGTGGGACTGGTTAAGACCAAACTCATCCAACACAGGGAAAAAACATCTTCTCCAGCCTCCGGATAACACAAACAGAAAAACAAAGTGGCGGGCATCAAATGTACTCTCCAAAAAGAAAAACCTCCAGAGGCCTCAAATGGTGCTTCTCCTGGTAACCTTGTCCACGTGCCATTTCAAATCCTTAATTAGAACATTACCTACAACTCTCTGTCTCTCTTCTCTGAACTCACATTACCTAAGTATGCAGCCACAATGAGTTCTTTAAAAATATCAACCCAGGATTTCACACCCTGGTGTTTTTCTATCAGATTGGTAGCCCAGGTCTCCTGGAGTCCCTGCCATGGTTTTTCCCACAAAGAATCATCACTGGACAGCCAGGAGGCAGAACCAGGGGAGGCACTTCCTTGAGTAGCCTCTATTTCACCATCTCCAGGGTTACCTTTTTCTCCCTTGCTTCCCTGAGGCTGACAACAGGAGGCTGGAAAGGAGAGAGCGAGGGCCAGTGCTTCTTCCCAAAACCTGCTTAAGCCAAGGTCTTGCTATCTGACCGCATGTGTTTGGTTAAATAGTGTAAAAATATATAGATATGAAGGGAAAAAGGATGGTAAAAATGGTAACGGTAACAATTTGAAGATTAAAAGAAAAAGTGCTGCCAATTAGGTGTGGACAAGAAAATTAAAAACAGGTAGGGGTGGGGAAGTAGAATTTTAGAAGGATTATGTACTCCAATAACTTCGTTTATGTTGTTATCAATCCAGTGTAAAAAAAAAAAAACCCAGCGGAAATTGCAGAGAATGCACTATAGATGTATAAAGGAAGAAATTCAAACCAGCAACTCATTTTAGGAAAAATATTTGAGGGGTTGGGGATTTAGCTCAGTGGCATAAGTGCCTGTTTGGCAAGTGTGAGGCTGTGAGTTCGATCTCTAGTACCAAAAAAAAAAATTCTTGCAAAGGAAAAGGCTTTGATCCTGTATTATGCATGATGTAGTGCTGATAGATGAATATATATTGTGACATTTGAAGATATAGTTAAATATTAAAATACATGTATATTGTTTTTCTACCAGGACCAAAAACATGTGTGCATTCGTGTATGAGTGTGTATAGCTTTGCAATACTATAGAAATTAACTTATTAATCAACCAATAAGCATACAATCTTTTATGTACATACACAATGTTATGTTTTATTGGCTGACTGATTCTATAGTATTGCAAAGCTATTAATATATTCTTACCTTAAACTACTCGTGTGATTTGAAGTTTCTGGTTTATTTGGGGTTTTATTCATTTCGTTTCTATTCTTCAGAGGAAACAGAGAAGAGCTTCCCATTAGTACTTACACAATGTTCACTATCACAGAAAAAAACAAGTTTTCTATTATACCATGACAATGGCCCAATATTATAAATAAACTGGAAAATGGTGAATTAATACTTTTTAAAATATGGATCCCCATACTTGCCTGGCAAGCATGAGGTTGTGAGTTCAATCTCTGACACCAAAAAATAAATAGATGAAGTAAAATAAAATATAAAAAACATAAGATGTGGATTAAAAGGCTGTCCTTTACATTTTATACAAAGAACACAGATTCCAGGGCTACTTTTCCCCTTTCCTGATGGTAGCAAGGTCAGAATGAAGCCTGGCATCCCGCTGGCCTTGAGTGGAAAGGAGCTTCACTGCGGGCTGGAGAAAGGGCTCCCGTCATCTCAGTGAGCTCAGTTACAGCCTGTTCTTGCTCCTCTCCTTCAGCAACCTGTCCTCAGTTTCCCTGCACCCAATGAGCAAGATAAGTGGGCCTTACTTCTCAGAAACACATACTGTATTTGCCTTGTCTTGATTTGTACTCTCTTTAAAGCATTCCTGCAAGATTAAAGGGAAAATCATCTAGGACCATTTTCAATTCTTGTTCCCTTCTAGGCTTTGATCACATGCATCTAGATATATTTTACATGATTATATCCCAGTGTATTCAAGTTTGTGTTCTGATATGTTCATTTATTTTGTAAAATCTGTTTTCATAGTCCCACTTATTCATTTACTTACTTAGCGAGCATTTGTTAAAGTGCATATTAGGTTTCAGGCACTATTCCAGGTACCATGAATACAAAGATAGATAAAAACCAGGTTCCTGCTGTTGAAAAGCTCTCAGCTTAGTGGAATATAACAGATAATTATAATGCAAAGTATCAAAATAAATACATATTTAAAGGCCTCTGTGTTTATTATCTTAATGGTTTCATAATCTTCTAGTTAGATAATATAACTTAATTCCTTTCCTTGATTGTATTTCATTATCACAAACACTGCTACAATTAAAATGTTGCCAATTTATTTTTTCTTTTGTTAACCATTTTCTGAAGATAAATTCTTAGGAATGAAAGTACTAAGTTAAAGAGCATTATTAGATTTTTATAGCTCTTGACATAGCTTGCTAAATAGCTTCATATAATGATCATACAGATGTACAAATTCACCAGTTATTCTCAGCTTTACTAACAGTTTTACCACCAAATGCTTTCTAGATTTTAATAGAAACCCATTATTGTTTTAATTTGTACTTGTTTAATTAATAGCAGGACGGAACAACATTTTCTCATAGTTAAAGAGCTCCCCTCTTGTGGGAATTGCATTTATGGTAAATTTATCTATCATTTATCATTGGTCCAGTAGCTGTCTAATATAGTTCATATGTTACATGTATACTTTTTGTTCTAACTTACTATAATTTTTCCTATTTATTGCTCTTTTTCTTTAGCTACACAAGCTTCAAATTACCCCAAAATTGTAACTTTTATTAGTCACATATGTTTATTTTTTTCCTCTGGAATTTCTGCCATGGTTACTGTGTTAAGAAACTTGCCTTTCTATCCTTGGAATAAATGTCCTACTATGCTGTCCATTTATCACTCACTGGATTTTGAATAAATGTTTCCTACATGCCCTGCTTGACACCAGGGAATTTTTAAAAAAAGATGGATGACATATTAGTACCAATTATTCAAAACCTGGAAATAGGCAAAGAGGGCTTCAGAATGTCCTCCCAGCACCACAATGGGAACCCCATTAGCTGCTTCTCTAGGTGTATGTATCTTTTTTGGCTCATTATTTGACATGCCTAAGAGCTAGTTTACAACTATGTTAGTGTAGCTGTTAACTGGTGGAAAGCAGAAATACAAATGATTCTTGTCCTACAGCAACAAGATAAACTTCGACCAACAGCAATGCAAATGATTTGTCCCCTAGAAAACATGGCTTCAAAAGTTAGATTTTTTGCCCTGTAGGAAATAAGAAGTTTGGTGTCTTTGTGATTTTAATCAAGTATTTTTTTTCTTTCCATCATTATACATGCTTTGCTCCTTCACAATTTTCCTGGAGCCAGCCTCCCATCTTACAGGTCACCTGCTAATGAGTTCAATAAAACTCTCACACAGGATCATATTAGGTTTGTTTGAAAATCAAGAAAGCTAGCTTTTAGCATTAACCCTCCCACTTCCACCCCCGTGAGGGTTCATATGCAGTCCTCCTCGATTTCTACCTTCATTTTCCATAAACCATGAGTTTCTGCAAAGTTGAATGGCATTCAGGAAACAACAGTAATTATATACAGATACAAGTGTTAAAGCAGGACAAATGATGAGGCTCAAAGTCTAAGGCCCAGGACCCCACAGGCCTGAGGGAATGAAGCGCGAAGCCTACCCAGTGTCTCTAAGAATACTCTGCCAACAGGGCTGGCTCCAGATAGTTAAGACAAAGTCGGACAAAGGAAAGTGGTGCTCCAGAAATTGCACAGGTCCTCCTTCAGAAGGACCTGGCTTCAACCCTAAGCCCTGCTTGTCAAGGGTCTCTTGAGGCTCTTTTCTCATCTACACAATAAAGTGGCCAAGATGTGTAAGTGACTGACATGCAAAGAACCTCATCCCTGGGCACCGGGTACAGCATTCCATCTCAGCACTGGGTGCAAAAAGATAACCTCATCATACCTGCCACATATTTGGCCTTCTAATAAATATCACTTTTTTTCCTTCCTTTTAAAGCCACACTGTCTCTCACAGTGAATACTGAATTTATACTGGAGAAATGGATCTGTGTCACTCTGGACAGTCATAGTCATCCATTAAAACACAACAGATGTTTGTGTGGCACTGGGTTAGAATTTCAGAGGTACTTAGTGTGTTATGCTAGACAACGGTTTCGAATGACCCCACGATGGATCCCAACTGGCCTAACAGCACTCCTCTGCTGGAACCCATTTCCTCAGGAGACTCAGCTAGATGATCTCTAGGATTTCTTCAGATTCTAACATTCAACATCAATGACATGCTGGGCAGGTGTTCTACCACTGAGCTATACGCCCTGCCCTGTGAGAGGTTCTTCACAAGTTAGCCCTGTATATCTGCAAGGGACGGTGCCTCATGGCTGGGTGCACAGGTGAGTCTGATGGCCATACATGGCAACTGTACTGCCCAGCCACTTGCTTACCTCTCCTACCACCTCTATGATGTCACCAACTTTCAGCTCAAGTTCGTCATCATTCTGGGGCAGGTAGCTGAATGCCACCTGGCATCGGCGCCTCCGTCGCTCACCTGGATGGGAAAAGCAAAATATTTAGATACAGTTCTTCTGTCAGACCAAGATTGTAAAGACAGGCTTCCTAGGCATGCAGGCAAAGTAAGCTGACTTGTTTCAAATATGCTCTCCGGGACATGGCTAGAGGCATAGCAGCCCTGGTCTCTTAGAGGCAGTAGAAAGCAGAGCAATGCTTCTTGGTCTTTTAAAAGCTGCTGGGTCAGAAAGGCATGGGTATGAGAAACGGTTCCATTGGTGCAAAAGGCAGAAACCCCACCCCTGAAGCACTGGAGCACAGTGTTGCCTTAAACGATTTTCCATGGATGAGGCTTGATATTTGCTGCTGTTGATTTTTAATGAAAGCTGATGTGATATGGTAGAGAAACAAGAAAGGTCTTTTTCTAATGCTAGCAAGGCAGACAGCACTTCCTCCAAATGTACAAAGGAAAAGATAGAGTGTCCTGGCCTTTTTCTTACTAATCATCACCCTTTTGACACACTAAGAATCAGGCCTGATAAGTAAACACTGATTGCATTTCAGCCTCCTCTTGGTACCATTTCAAAGGCCCCACAGGGTTCAACAAATCCACTTCTGTCCTCTTTTCTCTGTCCCAGGGGTCCATTAACAAAATCCCTGGCTGCTTACACAAAGCCAACTCAGGCAAATCAAGATAAAAGGCAGGGCCACACTTCACTTGACCAGAGGACACTCAAGGTCACAGCATCTCACTCACCCGGAACGGCCCACCTGGGACCTCTGGCTTAGGGCTGGTTAGAGTATGGCTACAACTGTCCACAGCACGTCCACACCACAGATGCACATTGCAGGGAGAAAGAACAGACCGATGGACGAGGTGGGAGAGGGAAAGGGGGGTGTGACAGAGAGGAAGAGGGAGAGACACAGACAGACACCAGCCATGCAGCAGTAGTGGCTCAAACTAGGAAGAGGTATTTGGGGCTAGGAAGGAAGATGGACTTTGTTGCCGTAAGAAATTTATCGCTCATATCTGACCCCCTAGCACCACTGCCTCATGCCACCACATGGCCTAGGAAACATAAACTTCAAATCATTGACTTCAAAGAAACACATTTACAAATGCTGAAATTATTTTTTGGATACTGCCTTTTCTTTTCTAATCTTTTCAAAGAGCAAGGAAGTCCCTACAGAGGTGATCTCAGGGCACATTAAGGTCCCCATGCAGCGTGACAAAGGAAAGGTGTTTGCACTACATCCCATGTGCTCCCTGATCAATATTTTTCAAAAGTCGGTGACTTAGTTCTCTGTTTGGTTTTTCTCTGCCCGGACATCACTGAGGAAGAACATAGCTGAACACAGAAGAAGGGTAGAAGAGCAGTATCTTGATCAATCACAGCATCAGCAAATATACAAACTTTATCCCTTTGTACACAGTCACGAGCCACTGGACCTTGATGAGACAAGCACAGAGCTCTCCAGCCCATCCCAGGGGAACAGGGCAGCCTGACAGCAGGCTGGGTACTGCAACACTCAGGAGGGCCTGGTGCTCCTTGGGAGAGAGGCTCCACAACTTGCATCTTCAAGGCAGCAAGGGTAGAGGAGTAGGTCCTCTGGTGCCAAGAGTACCATCATTACTTCATGTTCCTGATACCACGAAAGGCAACTCAAGTACTGTACTCTGTAACCATAAAGCATACAGAATGCTCATTTTAAAAAAGCAAATTGAGGTAACAAGGCCATCTTGGCTTCCCTCTTCTACCCCGTCCCCGTAGGTCCCCCTTGCTTAATATGGAGTTCTACAAGTCTTTGTTTGTATTTTCTAGATGTTATGCTAAAAGTGGATTTTGAAGACACAAATATGAACATGAAAGAAGTAAAATGATAAATGGCTAAAAACTGACACAGAATGACAGAAGGCACCAAAGTCCCCAGTAAAGTGACTTAAAATAACATCTGAAGGTATTAGCTGAAGCCATAAAACTTAGTTATATGTAAATTCATTATTTTTTTAAAACTCTCTATAAAATACAGCATCAAGCTAAATGAGGCACAAATGGTAAAAGCAGGCATGATATATTCTTGGAGAAAGATTAATCCAATAGATTCAGGACCTGGAACAGAATCGTCAGATTTTTCTTGACTCAAATCTCTGTACCAGATTTCCATAAAGGCCTGCCTGGCACCAGAAGAACAATCCTTTTACTAATTTCTCTCTACAAAGCTGGTCAATATTTCTTAAAGCCCCTAATAAGATTACACAGTTGGTGGCATAAAGTCCTTTAAAATATGTTGGGCAACATACCAAGGAAAGTCCAACAGAATATATAAGGGAAGGTCTCAGAGGTCACTGGCGGTAAAGGCCACCTGCTTTGATCCCAAGCAGAAATGATCTTTCTGTTCTGGAAGAGCTTGTTACTATTTTCTAAACCTATCACCGTATCACATCCCAATCAGAAAAATTAAAACACAAAGAGTCAAGATGACCACAGTTTTGCAAATGAGGAAACCAGGGCTCGGTGACTTACCCACCAAGCTGGCTAAGTGGCAGTATTTCCTTGGACTGAGTTAAGAGCTCTCTCTCTGCAGTCCTGGATGGACCAATTCAGTTCACACGTAGTCCCAAATTCTTGGTAACCCATATTGAACTGCTTCATGTGCCACTGTAGTAAACGTCACTCTAGGACAGTGATGGTGAACCTTATAGAGCTTGCAATGATAACAAACAGCTGGCTGTGGCACACGTGCCTTAGGTTCGCCACCACTGCTGCAGGATGCCTTCACCACGGCTCTCATTAAAGGGCTCCCAAATTCCACTACTGCTGCTTTTCCGGGCCTCCGCTCCAGCATATCCCTGACTTGCACTTGTGTGCCAGTTCTACCTGGCCAACAACCCAGTTTATGGGGAATGCTTAAAACGGGGAGAAATTGTGTTTCAGCTCCATACACTTCTCTTAAACATCAGAAAGTTTAAGGATGCCATTTTTCCTCTCCTTGTATTTCACTGATGTAGGGAGTCTGTACCTCCTTTAAAGTTGTCAGTAGGTGACAAGGTCATCTTGTAATAGCTAACAGAAGCTGAAGATAAAAATGTCTGACTTGCCCATGCCTAGCATTTGGAATCCCTTAGTTGAAGCTACCACCCTAATGCCCAGATGCACTGGGCATGGAGTTCTTACTGTGGGTTCCAGGTTTAACATACTTCAATGTGAGGCTTTTTCCCCTGCAGCCTAAACTGAGTCTTGAAAGTGTTCTTTAAAAAAGCTAAATATATTTGCTAACTATGACCAATAATATGAGTCCCTATTAAAAAATTAGAATATAAAGAAAGTGCATGTTTTTCCTCAATCACATTAGCACCACTGCTACTGTCTTGTGCCACTGTGTGTTTTTGAAGAAGGGCTACTTAACTCCTCATACATAATTAACAGAAGGAATGAATATAAATTTTATCTATGTGCATGCACATGTGCACATATGGCTTACCAAAGAAGTAGGAATAAGGCAGACTTCACAAGGCAAACTACATACTGTACAACTTTACTTTAGAGCCTATTGTAGGACAGCCATAAAATATACATGCATAAACATGCATTCGTATGCAGAAACACAGGCACACACACATGACAAAGCAGCTGTACACCCAACTCTCTCACTAAAGCACAGACTCACCTGCCATTCATTAAACAACCAGGTTTGTTTAATAAAACAACAACATTTACTAGCATTTACTGAGCACTTACTACATGCCAGAGACTAGTAAGCACTTTACCTGAATTACTCCATTCAATCCTTGCCTCTGGGGTGTATTACTGATCCCCTTTCCACAGACAAGGACACTGAAGAGGCAAATAGAGATTAACTATTCTACAAGACATTTTATAGCTAGCAAATAGAGGGCCTTAGATTTCAAACCGGATGAAACAATTCTAGAGATGTTGTTTCCATGTCTAGCTATTGTCATGAATTCTCAGCTGTCTTAAGACAACACAAAGGACCAGTTGAGCTAACATGGTACATGGGTAAAAGGTGAAACCAGTAAAGTGAAAACCATAAATCAAATGCACTTCCTTACAGCTGCTGAGAACCGAGGCCTATAGGCCCTTGTTTTAATGAAATACAGCGAGGTGGACAGAGAGGTGATATGCAGAACATTCGCCTTGTCTGAAAATGAAATTACAGAAACCAAAAAGCATGTCATGACTCAGTTCCAGAAACAAGATACACACTGATTTTCTACAACCTTCATTCTAGGGTCTTGTGATATGAAAACTTTACTAGGCCAATTCACTCAAGACCACAAAGTATAACAACAAATAATATCATGAATAAAAATCTTTGGGACAATTTTCAATCCTCCAATATTCGTAAGTCTACTTTTTACTATTCTATATCGCCTGAGACAGAATAAAAACTGTTTAAGTCATTTGATATTATTTTCAAGTAATACATTAATCAAATGCATCCTTACTGTATACCCCGAGAATATGGCAGTATCCTGGAGTCATACTACCCAGAGTAACAATTGATAAAAATCAGAGAAGAAAATCTGAAGTCGCTAATTCACAATGTCCAGGACAATCCTGGCATTTGGGAACCACTTGTGCAAGAAGGTTGAAGTGCAGGGCAGACCTACTAAACTCACTCTCTTGGAGTGGGAGCAGGACATGCATTTGACGCCATCTCCAACCATAGTTAAGGTTCACAAGCATCTAAACTTCCATAAGGAGTCAGTGCCACAGGTCCCAAGTGATGGAAAAATACCCTGTTGGATCAGGGAGTGTCTCTGATCTTGGCTGCCCATTGAGACTACACGAGAAAAATAAAACTAAGGGAGTTTTATTTTTGATAATGATAATGCCTGAGAACTAGGTCTCCACAGAAAAATGGTTTCTTCCAGGGCTGGGGCAAGGAAAATGTGAAATGAGACTAAAATATCTGGTTGTGTCAAAATGAGTAAAAGGATACAGGAGTCAGCTTCACAGGCCTTCCAGCAGCCAACTTTGGGATAGGAACAGCATATACTGAAGGATGCATTACAAT